TTTCATAGCTAATACCGGAAGGACCACATGCTTTGTTATTAGGAAGTTGGTTAATAGTAAGTAGGACCTCTTCTTCCATAAAGTTTAGAAGGATATTGGAGTACTAGTTAGGGTTAATGTTAGGTTTGGAATCATATTCAGTTTTCCATTGGGAATTGAATATATTAAAGTTAATATGTCTGGGGGCAGTCCAATTATCGAAATGTTGTAAAATATGAGATTTAATAATAGGAGGGTCGGTAATAATATCATTATTAAGTTGGATATTATTAAGTTTGACAGGGTCTTTATGATGATTTAGAATACTGTTGATCATAGAGGTGGGTTGATTTTGTAATTTAGAGCATCTTTTGTCAATAGCATTGTTAATTTGTTGTTTGATTTCTTTAATATTTTCTAGATTACAAGCATGGAAAAGGCTTTTCTACTTAGAGTTAGCACTGGTAATCCAAAAGTTAAGAAGTTGATGTGTGAGTGAAATTGAGGGGATATTTAAACTAGCAAAATGGTTAATCTTGGTAATAGAAGAGTTAAGATGAAAAGGAATAGAAGAGGAATGTTTAAGAGCAAATTTAATGTGTCAAATAACATTGCCAAGTTTTTTGAGATTGGAGTGTAAATGTGTTGCTTTTGAGGAAAAGATGTGTTGGAAGTTATGGACTGTATATTTTTTGTTGGGGATATGTTGTAGTGCAGCTGTGATAATACTAGTGTGAATTTTGTGCCAAGTTGTTTTGAGAGATTCAGAGGTATGAGTAGAACTAGAGGTAGAGTTAAAGTTAAGGTTGGAATTGACTTGGTTGAAGAATTCTTCCCACTTAGTATCAGACATAATTTTGTAGTTAAAGACTCTTCTACGTGTACGTGTTTTATATCTGCGTTGATCATGTTGGGTATAGGGAAATGATCAACAAGAAATGAGAATTTTGTGGTCACTAAGAGAGCTGCTATTTGCATCATCAGTGCTAAAGGAAGTAAGATAGGTTAAGATAGTGTGATAGGCCCAGATGAAATCGATTTCACTACTATATTTGAGCTATACCAGGTAGGTGAAGATGAATTAGAGTAAGAGACTAAATTGTACATATTATTATATGAGAGGTATTGGAGAAGTTTATATTTGATAAAAGTAGAATGAATGTTGTTAGTAGAGGCATTGAAGTCTTCAAGTGTAATAGGAAGTAGATTAAGTGTGTGGGTTTCTTGTAACCATTGAATAATAGTGTTTTGAGTATTAAGATGGAGTGTAATATTGTCGTTGGGGAGATAAGTTGAAATAATATGAAATTTGAAATCATGTTTGAAAAACAAATCGATTAAGAGAGCATAGAGGTTATTTTGTGAATATGGGGAGTTAAGAAGTTGCGGACCATAATAGCAGTTTCAGCTTTAGAACTATCAGTGCATGACCAGAAGTATGTATAGTGTTGGGTTTTGAGAGATTTGGAGGTAAGATGGCTATTAGCAAGTTTAGTTTTGGTAAGGCAAATTATATCCAAATTGTTGGATAGATAGTAATGTTCCCAGACTTGTCGTTTGAGATCTTGGTTGAAGCTACGAATATTGTGAGTACATATGGAAAGGTTGAGAGGGCTGAGTAGCCCAGGGTGTTGATAAGATTTATATGGTATAGAGGAAGAGAGTTTCGATTTAAGAGGAACATAGCAAAACCAGTTAAGAAGTTGAGAAAAAGGAGGTATAAAGTGATTAGGGAGTAGATATGTCTCATATGGGAGATAGATATGTATTTCAATATAGTTATAATTATGATCTTTGATGTTTAAAATTGAAATTTTAATAAGATCTGATAAGTAATAGGAGGGGAAGTTATGTCTGATATATTGAAGAAAGATAAAAATGGTTTGAAGGTATTCCAGTAGTGGTAGCCTATAGTAAAAGAAAAACTTGTTATAACATGTAAGGGGGTCTATAGGGCCTAGATCCTCAGTTATTTGTGTAATAGTTTCAAGTTAAGAATCATCAAGGTTGTGTAGTGAATTATTGTCTGTGTTAGAATCTGGAAGTAGTTCATTGTCAGAGTTAAAATTTGTAGGAGGCTGGTCGATTAGGTTTTGGGGAGATAATATTGGTTGTGGTTTATAGGGGGCTAATAATGTTGAAGATGAAACCACATGAGAAATGTCTTCTACGGCAATTACTGTATGCCCGGCTTGCACGGCTCCGCAAGATTCAGAAGCCCTCAGATTAAGTGTTAGAGGACCGTCATTATCTGGATCTTCCGGGTAATTAGACTATTAAATCTATAAACAAGTCAATTAAATAAATTTAAATAAATAAATAAATTCTAATGAATTGGTTTTTTCTAATATAAAAATTAAAAAAAAACCCAAATTATAAGCAAGGTTAAGAAATTTTTAATACAAATTTCAATTTAAATATTTATATTTCAAGGTATATATATTGATATATTAAATTATTAAGCTTAACTATATAAGTATTAAAATTTGATTTTGTTTAAAAGATACAGTATATACTAGTGTTGGGAAATAACCAGTTATTTGATTCTAAATGACCAAATGGCCCCAAATAACCCAAGATCATTTGTTATTTGGTTATCTATATTATATATATATTTAAATCAGTAGTATCACGTGGTTCATATGTCAGCCAATAAGATATAGGCAAATGTGTGTATAATTTTTTATATCAGGTCATTTAGTCATTTCAAATGTAAATGACCAAATGACCAATTCATTTGGTCATTGGTCATTCGAAGTGCCAACACTGGTATATACAGTGTATATATATACATAAACAAATTCTGTATATATATATAGTGTAAATTTTTAATACTGTGTATACATATGGGCTGCCGTCAATAGAATTTATGCATTAACTTTACCTCGTGTGTTTTAATGATTTAATAATCAAAAGAAAGCTTGAATATTAAGCTTTCTTTTGACTATATACAGTATTTCTATTATCAATATACTGCAGTTTAAAATTTATCGATATATATATAAACTGTAAAAGCTAAGGTATTAATTTTTTTAAAAATGTTAATCTGCTTGATTTCTACGCAGCCCATAGTAAAAATTTTGCATTTATCCAACTTTATCTATTTTTATCTATTTTGTAAACATCAACATAACAACAATTATAATTACGTAGCAATTTAACATTAATTAAATGGTATATATATATTATTTTAGTAATTATTAGACTATTACGTATGCGATTTAAGCATATTGCATAAACCATATAAGCTGAAGCATTTAAATAACGAATATTAATTAATAAAAAAACATATAATTAAAATAATTCAACTTTCTAACCCATCGTTAAAAATAGCCGCGAAATTATCAAAGTGTATGCCATTTTTATTGATGTCACTACTTTCAATAGACCCATCTCCAAAAGATTTAAGAACGCGTATCAAATGTTGATAAAATCTTGCCATTTTTTCGTCATCTTGCTTTGACACATGACAAAGAGATGAAAAAAATTCTTCATTAGTACCTTGCGGATTATCAACATCCTGGACAAATGGCTAAATAAAAGTTATAAGATAAATTAGTAAAATTTTAATAATTAAATAAAGTTTTACAATCTTTAAAGTTCTATAATTATACCATTTTTTTATTTGATCTCATCAATTCATAATTGTTACTAATATTACTTGATGAATGAGTGGATGAAAATATTGGTTCACCAAATGTAGGATTTTGACAAGCATATAATTTGTGCAAATTTTCTTGATCATCAAGTAACGGAACAAATCCAAGAATAGAAGCGGATGATCCATATTTTGATACCAAAGTTTCTTCAACTACTAATATACTGACTAATGCATCATCTAT